CTGCGCCGCTTCGAATGTAACTCTATCTTGATTTATGAAGCAATTAAGGGACTCGCACCCAATTTTTTCTCGTCTTATGTTTACGCCCGGCAACGGTTGATTATTACTTTAGAGTTTAGACCATAAAACTAAAAAAAGCACCGGATCCGAGGCTGGGCTGCTGTCTCAGCGTTCGAGAGTTATGAGGGAACATCTGCAGTCACTGACTAAATCTTATAAATGATGCAACTCTGTTGTCAATATGTGTGTTAATTTAATAAATAAAACATATGTTATATATTTTAATCATTAAACTACTATATATGATTATAAAAACTTAAAAAAAAACCGACTTCCAGGCACTAAAATGTAAAAAATAACTGAACGGGGTTTTTCATTTAGAATACATACCTAATTCGATATAGTCGAAGTCGGTGCCAGCAAATCTAACATATTTCAATACGTAAAATACATAATATTCACCTATTGGATATTCATATCTTACTCGTAAAATATTGTCCGCTGGCACTGACTTCAAAAATATCTGATTTAGCATCTATTCTAAATGAAAACCCGTTTAGTTATTTTTTACATTTTAGTGCCTGGAAGTTGGTTTTTTTTAAGTTTTTGTTTTCCCATTTTTAGTGTAGACGTAATAAGCACGTAATTTATAAAAAGAAAGTTTTTTCATAACATATTCGATTAAACAATTTATTTAAAAATATATTTATTATTGATTTTTTTAAATTGTTCGACCGATTTCGATAAAATTGATATGGGACTACCTGGGAAGTATAATCTTTAAAAAAAAATCCAAATCGGTTCAGGCGTCTTCGAGTAATCGGTGAAAATACATTTAAAAAAAAGATTCCGACGAATTGAGAACCTCCTCCTTTTTGGAAGTCGCAGCACAACAATGTCGCACGAGCATGCCTAATAATAACATCTCTATCAGTTATTTCTTGCAATGTAAGTATGTATGTGTGTTTCCGCCTATCATCAATATACAACATAAGCATCCAAATTTTAAATATATGACATAAAAGAAGAAATATATATATATATATATATATATATATATATATAAAAATATGAAGACGTATTACAAGTAGAAATGTGACTTAATGACATCTTGCAATAGCTCAGCAAACGTTACCTGTTTTTTTTCTCAGACGAGAGGCATTTTAACTGTCATTAAGCATTTCATCTGCAATTTTTTTTCAATTACCAAAAAAGGGAGGAAGTTAAAAAGAGTGTCGCTCCGTTTCTGCGAAGCCCGGTATTTCTATGCCGAGGTTAATTACGCACACCAACAAAGCGAACATATGTTTCCTTTGATAGAAAACAGCTGTTCAGCATTCCGGGAAGTTTTAACGGTTCTGTCTGTTGTAGTGCGAGTGTCTAGGAATAGGGGTGGTAATGGCCGGAGCCGCTCCCTCGCCGCCGATCAGCTGATCGTGACGCACGACGCTGCCATCGTGACGTAAACAGGATGCGCGCGAGTCAAAGCGGGCGCTACCTGCAGCGGCCCTTATTATTATTCTATGCAGACAAATTATTTGGAGCCCTTTCAACGTAGGGAATCACAACCTTTCTACACAATACTATAATATAAATCTTAGCAACCTGATAATTTGAATTGTTATACTATGAAGTTCAATCAAGTATCAAACATACATGTAACACAAATAGGCGTTAAGTCACTGAGTTTCTATTTTGTCAACCGACTTCCTCAAAAAGGAGGAGGTTCTCCAATCGGCTGTTTTTTTTATGTTTGTTACCTCAGAACTCTGTCATTTATTAACCGATTTGGACAATTTTTGTTTTGTTTGAAAGTGTATACTTCCAGATTGGTCCCATTTAAATAAAAAAAATACCACGACTAAGGGTGGAAAAATAGGTAATGATGAATTTAACCTACTTCTAACTGTCATATAACCTACTTCTAACTGTCATATTCTAAATGTCATATGAAACTTTGCAAGTGTTTCTATTTCCGTTGATAGTGCAGTGGTTCGGTATCGTTGACGTGGTCTGATGGTAAGGCCAGAAGGTAGATAGATGGAACTCTTCAACGGCTTATAGTAGATACTTTGAGTTTGGGTTTATTTTGTTTCATTTGACAAGCCTAACACTTTAGAATCATATTTTAGAACCAGAATTTTTAGTGTTACTAATAAAAGCGAATTTTAGTTTGTAAGTCTTCGCATGAAAATTGGCGTCAAAGTAACTTCAACGGTTTAAGTGAATATTTTATTACAATACTTTCTTCTTACTTTGCTACTACTACGTCTACACTAAAAAGGGAAAAATAAAAACTTTTTAACAAAAAAATAAAAATCGACTTCAATAAAGGACTCAAAGGTAAAAAATAACTGATTGGTAGTTTTCATTTACTATACATACATACCTAATCAAATATTTTCGAAGTCGGTGCCAGCCGATACAAAGCAAAGCACAGGTGTGCTTTGCTTTTTTTGAAGTCGGTTTTTATTTTTTTGCTTAAAAGTTTTAGGAACTTTAAATAACAATAATTTCATAAGAAGAACAAGTAGAAAGATTTTTTTCATAATAATGATGTGAAGATTTTTTTCATAAAAATGAAGGAAAGATTTTTTCATAATAATTTACCAAATTCATTATATTTCATATTTCAAATTGGTCCTAAGTTTATATTTTAAGCTTAAAAAATAAAATTTAGTTTCTTCATGTTTTTGGTAAGCTGTGAAATGAAACTCAAAGCTTTATCCCCTATTACTACGGGCGAAACTTCTATCCGCTTCCAAAATCCCCATTAAACAAATTAACCCGATCTCTTCCACCTTTTAACCAGTCGAAACATTTTTCATACTCAGTATAACAAAGTCTCTCGAATTTTAATTTCTAAATTTTATTCGCCAGTGCACGTTCTCCTTAAATTGATTATTCTGTACTGGAGATTAGCAGGAACAAACAGACAAAAAAATATTTTTACTTACCTATATTTGACTTTAGAAACGCAAAAATTATTAAGAAATATAGAGACAGATTCTTCGATACTATAAACATATTACAAAGAAGAACTTGTTAGACAAATCAAATATGTTCTTAAGAATTTTAAATAAAACTATCTTTTCGGATTTTTTTCGCGGATTTATTTGGATTTTTGGTTCCCGAAGTTTCGAATGCTTTACAGCATTCATGGTCACGGGAGAGACTGAGGTGTTAGATGTCTCGAAGGTATAGTTGTTACAGACAGCCTATCCGCAAATAACAAAACGAAAATTGCACCAATTACCTTACAATATTTTTTAACTTTAAACATAAGCCATATATTTGTTTTATGTGTAATTTAAAAAAGTTAAAATTAATTAAGGATAATAATTTTAATTTTGTTTGCTATTATTTAAAAAGATAAATTACTAAGCAACACTATTACTATATACTTTTACAAATGTAAAATAACAAACGTTGGGAACCAAAAATCCAAATAAATCCGCGAAAAAATCCGAAAAGATAGTTTTATTTAAAATATCAAATATTCGCGTAAATATAAGAAAGTATTATGTTTTTAAGTATTTTGTTCTTGTGAGCAGCCATTATAGAAAATAATCGAACATATAAATCATATTACATTTTTTGTTTAAGGACCTATTATATTTAACGTCGTCGGTTCATAAATCAAAGTCTTATTTTTTTATTTGAGATTTTTATTCAGTTATTAATGGAGATCTATATCGTGTTTGTAAAAAAATAAAAAGTACTTCAAATTTTACCTTGTTTCGTCAATAACTTAACCTAACATTATAATACTCGGGAAATTATATCAGTCAAGTTATTATTTTCAGTTAAGCAAAATATACACAAAGTGCTATCAGATTAGATTCGTGTAAAGCACGTCGGTCGTCGGTTGTCGAAGCAGTGGCCAGCTCCGAGGAACATAAGAAATATTCATAATACAAAATACATTTGGCTTTGATTTTCAGTCGCGTCGCCATCACAGCGCGTCTTCGAGTACTTCCGCCAAAGACCGACTTCTCATCGTCTGATAAATCACCAGCTAATTTCAAAACCGACAAATTCTCACTCATTATTGGAAATTAGAAAGGCAATTTTTCAACAAACTTTTATCGGTGTTATAAGCCCATGGATTGCTATTGTTAACTTCACATTAATTCATTCATATTACACTAATATGAAGCAGGACTACGCTATCGTACAGAGAGTGATAGCTGGAACTAATGAAACTAACAAGTATTTTTTCATTTCATTAATAATTATAAATAAAGCTGACAAGCTACATAATTTTAAATACATCGTAATCTAAGAAAGTATTATAAGAAAGTATTAAGCTACATAATTCCTGAGTTACATAGGAAATATTTCCAATAATACGTGATTATTATTTTTCGCAAATGATTTTAGGAAAATGGAATAAGGGCTAAGTAATTTTTACCAAACGATCGAAAGCGGCCTTAAACTCTTTCAATTACGGATTGCTACATTTCACAAAACACAATATGTCGACGGATCGACTGGACGTTTTTCAAGCGTATACTCGTACTATTTGACGTGTTAACTAGACGATTACGTCCCTACTTGACTACTACCTATATATGTACATCCGACTGTGTCGGTCCTTAAATATAAGTTTACACAACAATACTGTTTACTGAGACAATGGAACAATGGTTCTGTCCAATCACATGTGTCACCCGCGCACAAACTGCTCCTCCCAATCAGCGGCTGAACACTGGACACTGGGCACACTCGACACCTTGGGCTACAATAGATCGTTTTTAATTATATTACAACATGGAAAGCTAGTAGAAGCCGCCACTTTAAAAAGTAAGTAACGGACTCTGAGCTGGAATCGAATTAATAAGACGAACGTCGCATTATGACCGTACATTCGAATGTAACCGGAGTTTTTTTTGGATCTAAGAGGGATATGCGCCATATGCGGCATAGTGTGCGTAGCTGGCATAATACTGATAGAGCGCGGGGTGCAGGAGAGTGGCGGCGCGGGGGGCGCGGGCTCAGGAGGGCTTGCGGTCGTCGTCGTCGGCGGCGTCGGGCGCCTCACCGCCCTCGCTGCTGGAGGAGCTGCACGCGCCGCGCGCCCACAGGCTCGCGTAGCTCTGCTGCTCCGCGATCAGCGCTTCCTCAGCCTCGATCACGGCGTTGAACAGCGTCTTCTTTATCTTGATCTGAGTCGGATAGGAGAACCTCTTGGTCGACTGACACATGCTGTTGAAGAAAATGTCCAGTGGGTCGGGCACGGCGGGCGGCGGGTGATCGCGCTTACGCTCCTGGTACTGCGCGTCAGTGAACTGGCGCTTGCTCTGTGCCTTGCACAGGTAGTCGAGCTTGCGGTCGATGACGGTGAGCTGCTCGCAGCTCTTACGCTTGGGCGAAGCCTCAGGCTCGGAATCAGAGTCGTCGGAGGAGCGCGCGTCGCCGTTGTGCGTGGGGGCGTCGGCCGGCGGCGGCGCGTATTGCGGCGACTCCGCCGGCTTCTTGCGTACGCTCATGTGCGGCTGTAGGAACTGCATCAGCCCCATGTACTTCCACGGGTAGTTCTTCTTGGCGGGGTTGCCAGGGTCCTTAGCCAGCATCTCACTCTGCCGCTTCAGCGCGTCGCGGTAGCTATCGCGCAGTTTCTTCCATTTTAATTTTACTTCTTTTACTGAAAATGACAAGAAAATTACTTAGTATTACCTATTACCTACACGTTTACTTTACTTTTACACTAACTGAAGTAGGTACTTCCCGTAAAATCGTGAATTTGACTGTTTTATAACTAAACATAGAACAATTTAGCCCGTATTTTATTTCATAACTTTAACATGTTACTATGGTTTATCTGAATATCAATCGATGTCTAGCGGTTTACATGAGATACCCATCTACCAACTTTCAGTCATCTAGCTCCAATATTCTTTGAGTAAAATAGCTGTGACATATGGACAGACGGACAGACGTACAGACGAGCAAGCGAACAAACGGACATGACGAAATTACAAGGATTTCCTTTTATAGGTGACGAAACCCTAAAAGTACTGTACGTTGCAATCGTTCTATCAAATCGTTACTGATTCCAACTGCGTATTTATTTGCTTCTTATCCGTAACCATTAAACATGCGCCCGCTTTCTATTGAACTACGTAGAGCGGGCTGTAGGCGTATATACATATAAGTGTACATATACACATTATACAGCTAAGGACAGTTTAAGACCGACAAAAGACATATTCATATTGTGTTTGTATTTTGGATCTTTAGAGATCACATCTGTAATAGATCATATGATTTAAAAAAATCGTTTAACTTTCGCAAACATAAGCTGAATAGATTAACAAAATACCTTAATCAAAAAGTGAGATAGTAAAATAAGTAAACATTATTCGTTTTATTGATTTCTTTTTTTTACTTGCCGTATTTATTTCATGTACACGCAGATTTACAATAACATAGACGAGGCCTAATCGTAGTACTTCGTCACCCTTCTTAAATATAGTGTGTCCTTTTATATTTCACCCCTCACTGCCAGCGTCGAGGGTCATAGCTGTCCTCGAGCATGACACGACTGAGTAAGTACCTATGTATGTACTTACCTACGGTACTCCTATGATACATGATAAAAACTTCCATTGCTGATCGAATAAGTAAGTATAATATCTATCAAATAAATATTAATAATGGTAATAACTAATAGTGAAAGAAAAAATATTTTTCTTTACGAGAATAGCTCTAATATAAAACAGCTATTTGCGGATTACAAGTCTATTATTACAACAACGGTGGTCGGTGAGCGACTATTGTACTTATGTACATAATCACACCGTACCAAGTAGGTGCATATACATTATACAATATTTACATAAATAAGAACGAGGTATGGATAATTTACTTTTTATAAATTATATTCAATTTCATTTGTATAATATACATAACTTTGTAAAGATCTGAATTGTATATTTTTATAATTAAATCAGTAAGTATAACAAGTTGCAACGCTTATGAAGTAATATAATTGGTTAATAAGAATAAAAATTGCCAACCGAAGGAGCCGCACCCGCCGCGCCGCGCCGGGCGCCGGCCGCGTGCGGGGCGCGGGGCGGGGCGAGGCGCGGCGGGGCAGCGGCGCTGCGCCGGGCGCGTCACGCGCGGCACTCACCTGAAGCCAGGTCCGTCTCCTTCATGACCTCCGTCCAGGCGGCGTCCTTCAGCTCCTGATCGCGGTACTCGATGGCGGTCGTGTTCCACAGGCACGGGTACTTGCGTACGGTCTCTATGAAGTGCTCCATCTCCATGGCGTGCGGGCGTGCGGGCGGTGTGGCGCGGCGGCGGGCTCCGGGCGGACTGCGCGGCGCGGGGCCCGCGGGCGCGGCCGCCGCAGCCGGCCCCTCCGCCGACCCGCGCCGCACGCCGCCCGCTCGCCGCCCGCACCACGCCGCCACGCCACGCCGCGCACCGACACCGACGCCGTACACGTCTTATTCGCACTCCATTACTTAATATATCGAGGTAACGGACGTACAAATCTGTTTTCAGAAAAGTTTATAATAAAATACGACTGACACATAAACATAATTGTAATTAATTTAATTTTATACTCCAAAGACTCACAAGGATATCTATTTAACGAAACCTAAAGGGTCAGAGCACTAACTTTAACAACTAATGTTTCTATGCATTATCCTCATGCGTAATGTGATTATCCTCTTGCATCCTTATTTGCTAAGCATACGGTCAATACGTGACTAACTCATATATATTAAGATATAAGATGTATAATATTATACCGCGCAGGAGCCCGCTGAGATTCTGAGTGTGGCAGCAGCTCACAGCGATGCCGCGGCTGATCAGTGAAGCGGAAGCTTTGATATTGATCCGTTCAGAATACATAATATAAGTACTTTTAAAATGTATGAATATCGCAACACTTGAATGTACTTTATAATTTAGATACTATGCCTAGCTATATATTTTTTACTTTTTAACATATTACAATAATGTCTGTATACACCTACATATTACATAAATACGCATGCAAAGCAAGTATGAACATAATGTAAGCAGTAAATAAATAGATTACTTTTTAGCTTCAAAGCCGCTTACATATATATCCATAACCCCGACAAAACATACACCAATATTATCCCCGTGACATCCTCCTTTTTTAAAGTTGTTTAATAAAAGATTCCCAAATCAACCCTCATAACGTTAGATCATATCAAGAAAAGCGCATCTCGGAGTGATGCGGCTCGGAGGCGCGAAGCGCGTGGCGCGAGGGCTGAGGACGAAAGGAGTGAAAAATGCCAAATAAAGAGATTCCCAGCTCTTCCTGAGGAAGTTTCATTTCCGCACCGCCCGGCCGCAGCCGCCCGCCTTACACTCATCGCGGTTATTTCATATTTCTATCAAAATATTAAATATTAGCCTCCGCTGCTTTAGATAGATAGGGCTGCGGCCGCGTATTTTTAAAAAATCTTAGTTATAGCATATATAATCTCAACATTGAGAGTGCTTCTGTCTATTTGTCGTTATGGCTTGATTGTAATTATACTTTCCTATAGGTATTTCAAGTTATGTTTACTTTTTAGTTCCTGCTAATAACTGAAATATCTACGATGTGTAAGTTAGATAAGGACGGGTTAACAATAAAATCAACAAAACCATATATGTAATGTGTAAAGGGTAAGCCAAATTATAAAAATCGGGCAAGAACGAGAACGACTCGCGTTCAAAGATAAAACATAAAGTTCGCAGAGACCGAATGTGTACACTAATCACTTAAAACTACCTACAAATATATGTTATCTTTGAAAAGAATTGAGTTCTTTGAAGTATTAATTTTCAAGCAACAATATCTTGTTTTGTAAATATGTATGTACCTATGTAGTTAACAGAAATGCGCCAGCCCTACTGAGTGCTGCGTTGCGTTGGCCTGAAGGAGCGCACTGCACAGGAGCTTTCCATCTCGCGACACTTTCCTTTGTCGACGTCGGAACTCTGATAATAAAACTTTATAGCTACTTTCAAATTTTTTATATTTTCTCTTTTTCATTAAACGGGGCTTGAATACATTCGCCCCGCTTCTTAATGCTGTTTGAGATGTTTCATTGCATTTGTTTCGGCGTAAAAAGTAAGTATCCGTAATAAGTAGCGTAATCGTGAAACCAATTCAAGCATTAGATATCAGCTTCGTATCTCAATAGTAGTTTATTTATAGAACTTATCACGTTATAACGTAAATACATAGGTAATTATATAAGTAATCTACAAGTGGTGGCTACGCATCATAACAAAGTAGCTGGTGTCAAAATAAATAAAGTTAGCTTTTTAAGGAAATGTAAAAATAAATAACACGGTCAACTAGATATAAGTTACACTTTTGCTGCTATTACTATTCAACATACATACCTACATAAGTACTAAGTATTATTATTTTATTGCTAATAACACAAAAATATGTACTGCGAAATGGTACGGGCCCATGGTCATCGGGCCATGGTGCATCGATTCGACTCACACTTTGGCATTTTTATAAATGTAAGATAGTAGAATTTCTCTTACCTTTTTTAAGAAAGATATTAAACATTCAGCTCTTCTCAAATTATTACAAAAAATCCATACTAATATTATAAATGTGACATTGTGATTGTTTGTTTTTTTGTTTGTTTGTCTTTCACATTGAAACGGAAAGAAGGTAAGCTAAAAAGTAAGCTCTTCAACACAAATAAATAAATACATGTTTTGGCATTTTTCGAAATTCATCCTTTAAGGGGGTTTAATAGGGGATGAAAGTTTGTATGAAATCTAGGTTATTAGATATTTTTATAATTTTAGCGCGAGCGAAGCCGCGGGTTCTGCTAGTATTATATAAAAATTCGCTTCAATATTACGCTCTGTGCGGTAAAGTTAAGCGGCGATTTCATCTACTTACCTGCCTAGGAACTTAAACCACACTACATTAATATCATAATGTTGACTGACTTTTAGTACTAATAGAGTCGCTTAAAATGAGCGCTTACGCATAGGTATATATATTTTTTAATTACATTCAATAACAATTTGTTTCTCTGGTCGACACCGCCGGGTATACAAATTACATGATAAAATAATAACTGCCCCGAATATGTTTGATCAGCCCTCGCCCTCTGTGTGCCGCCCTCCGCCTCCCCGCCGCCTCCCCGCCGCGTCACGCCAGTAATGAGCCGATATGTGTTTGCTTTGGGCGCATGTGCCGCGTAATAACCCCGACCGGTCCTCGAAATCATCACTGCAAACAAAACCTCCAATGCATTCTGATCGCTGCCACCTTTTTTTTTTTTTTTTAACGTTGGGAAATGCATTTACGCACGAGGTGTGGGACTCACCGGCAAAACCAGTACTACCCACTAAAACCCAACAAAACCTTCCCCCGTCTTAATGGGGCGTCGCAGGATCGCTTACGCATTCAACTACAACGCCCCGACGGCAGGTCTGCCAAAGCAGACCACAACAACCACGGGGTTGCTCCACAGTCCACTCTGCTATCAGAGAAGTACCAGGAGCAACCCGCATGGTACACTGCCCTCCGAAGAGGGCCACCTCCTACCGCCCACCGAAGTGGGCCTCCTCCCTGTGCGTTTCTTGGCTTCGCGCCCGGTTGGGTTGCCGGGCACTACTGAGCCCCCCCACCACGACAAGGTGAACGCACATTGGGGGGGGGGGATCGCTGCCACCTGTGTGATGTAGCGCTTACTCTACACTTATTGTCCCGTCACTTTTACGACTTTAAATTAACAGTCAATATGCTGTTTGTCGCAGACAGAGTGAATTATTTCGAAAAAACTTAAGTCCATTTATATTATAATACTTTCTTAGATTTACGGGAATATTTGACATCTATATATCTATACAAAATCGTACCATTTACAACTCAAGACCGGTGGGATCGATTTTTATGATATTTGATTCGTTGCATTTGTCTCCGCCCCGAATAGCAGAATAACTATTAAGACATCGAAAAATTCACAAAAAATAAATTTACATGGCTAACGCCGGCTAATAAGTTTTTATATCTATATAAAACGTATCTACTCGTAGTTAGTTTGTAAGTCGCTAGTTTTATATAAAACTATCTTTTCGAATTCATTCGCGGATTTATTTTGATCGATTTATATTTTTTCTAATAAAATTTCAAATTATTTAAAGAAAACTTAATATAACGTAACGTATAACCACGGTAATGTAATGCATAAATATTACCGTGGTATAACTGACCCAAGAAACTAAATATTTTTTACAAATTACAAACATTATTATTAAATTTAATAAACATTATGGTGGATGTAATAAAAGAGACCTCGTAACAGCGAAATATCTTAAGTCTTCCGCTCCCATGTGAAAGCTTCCGTTGAACTTTTTCACTTCCGGAAGGTCGCGGCTTGCAAAAAGTTCGGGGAAGAGCGCCGCCGGCGACCGCGGCCGCACGTGGGACCTCTTAACACCTCGCCTTCTCATCACTATTGTGTTGCACTTTACCACATTCAAATATTTTAAATAAACATTTAAAATATGGTTTTAAGATTAGTTTAACGGTGCTACTAACAAAACTATAAAATATAATACATACTATTAATAAACAATGACTTTGAAACGCATTTCTACATAGAGAGCAGCAATATATCACAGATGGGTTAAAAATAGCAGTAAAATATTATATAGGTATACACATATTATGTCCGACCAAAAAAAGAAAGTCATAATCAAGTTATGTCAAACGGACCAAAGTCATGTAATATGGGACTGTCCAGTAATGTAGGTATTTACTTTGCAACGTTCAATTATTTACCATTAAGAATTTCTGCACAATTTTTATTTTATATCCCTTTGTAAAATTCGCAGGTTTGTCGTTTTATAAGAGTAACCCTGCCTGTTTCTAGGACACAAAATACCCATGCCTTTACTAAAGCCAAGGTGAAAAGTTAGACACGTACAAAATTCATTACCGTTTATTATGTAGGAAATAAAAATGTTTTAAGAGTCCTCGTTAGAACACCGTCTCCTTATTTACTACCTGTAAAACCGCCTTTCTTGTAGCGACACTACATCCACACAAATATTATAAATGTGAAAGAGTGTTTGTTTGTTTGTTTGTTTGTTTGTTTGTTTGTTTGTCTGTCTGTCCTTCTTTCACATCGAAACAGAGTGGCGGATTGGCGTGATTTTTTTTTGATGTGTTGAGATAGTTGGAGGGCTGGAGAGTGATATAGGCTACTTTTTATCGCGGGAGATTACCTCATACCCACGGGAAAACACGTTATAAATTATAATGCAATCCAAGACAATATTTATGATCAGAATTATGTACTTTAAAGTTGATAATAATAGAGGAAGAGCCCGTGAACGCCAGACCTTCGTCATTTTATAAAAGCTGAAAGTTTGTCAGCGCATGCTCCCAACACAGATAAGAACGATGGACCATTATGAAGTTCAGGCTATGGTGGCTTTGGCAGGTACGGTGTGTAAAATACCGATCTAAATTCGTCAAATAATAAAGTGTGATTTTTTGGTATTACCTTCAGAATATTATTAAAAATCACGTCATTCAATGCCAGACACTTAACATCGTGGCAAACCCTTGCCAGACACCCTTTTCATGAAATCATAATTCTACTTACGTTATAGCATAAAAGCTGATTTTTATATATAATACTTGGGTAATAATTAGATGATTTATAAGACTGCTAGCATAGCATTTATTACACACCATGAAAAATGTTCCAAACAAGTTGGGAGGCATTTCTAAGAAAATGTTGCAAATGGTCACCAAATTTGAAGCCCTAAGAATTGACTATATTTAATTAGGACTATTTAAAGTAGTAGATTCTTATGTAATTATGTTTCCGTGCGTTGGCCAAGTCATTCTATTAATTAAAGAAATAAATATATCTAATATTAATACGGTCACTATAAAATGTTGTAACTTAACTAATTCGGTAACGATTTATGACAAAGTTGTCGGATAGATGCTTCCATAGATAGGTAATGAATAAATTAACCGACTTGGTTTTATAATGAGATATAATGATATCTCATAGCTCTTTACGGTAGAAGAAATGCGTTGCGAGACTTGCAATATTTTTACAGTTATGTTTTTGATGGGATTATATTGTCGTCAATGGTGAATGTATTAAATAAATTGACTTTAAACTATTCCCGGATTGACCAATTTATTTGCTGCAATTGTTTTTTTTTTGCAATTACTTGCTAATATTTAAAATATATTTTATTTACATACGTATGATAATATCGTTAATTATAGAGACTTTATTATAATATGTCTTCAAAATAAATATTTTTATTTTCACACATTAATAAAACATGTTAGTAGTTATTATACCAAGGTTTCGTAAAAACAATTTAATTATTGAAACATATTTTTTTATGGTAAAGAAAAGATAAATTAAATGAAATTAAAAAACGATTTATTATTTAACTAATGCATATAAGTGCTTACTGATACATTTGATTTGGTTTAAAATGTTGATTCAAAATTAAAAAAAATATATTAGGACTACTATTATTATTTACCTAATAAATTATTAATTTATATAGATATATTTTCCTGTTACCTGTTATGTCATGCAAATGTAATTTTTATTTGTGTAAGTTCTGTATTAATTAAATAATAATTAAATTACATTATGTTATATATTTCCGTATGTAAAGATTAAAGATGTATAAAAAAATGGCTTATGGAACAAAAAAAATATAAATTCTTATTTTTTTTTAAATGCCGAGGGAGATGTAGTGTGTATGTGTGTAAGCCTCCTCGGTACCTATATATTGTACGACCAGTTATTATTAGAAGTGTATTAAACGAACCTTGGAGCCAAACAGTTGTCTCATTTAGTTCCCACATTACATCATAAAATAACAAGAGAAAGTGCAAAGAATAACTATTTTCCTATTTCATGAATACCACCCACACTCGCAATGTTAATGTAGGTACCTGCGTCTATGACGACTTACTTATTCAATAAATACCTGATAATAAGTACGCATGAGCACGCTATAATTGAAAGTGGAGGAGTGTTGATTACTAATCGATAATGAGAAACTCTGACTAAGAACGGGAATAGTGATAGAAACAACGTTCAATTTAACATATTATTTTATTCTCTCCAATATATTGAATGAGCATTTGAATGTATAGAGTCACTAATTCGATATAAAGCCTGTATATATGTTTCTAAAACATGAAATACATATACACTTACCTACCTATTTCAAAAATACTGATATTGAAAAAAAAAAGATAAAAATCCGACCAATACGATCTATAATACATGTGTGTTTTAATGATGTGAGATTGTAAAACTAATAATTATTAATTATTAATTAGATTGACACTATTAGAAAATTAAAATGTAATTACAATGCATTGCTATTAAATTGTTTCGGGTAAAAGTTGTAGGTACATTCATTAATGTTTAAAAAAAATCTTTAATGGTATTTCTTACAGAGTGATCGCATTTTACAAATTCATTATTGACACAGAATATTTGACATTTCAAATAAAACTAGAGAGAGAGAGACCATGTCATGTCATGGTCAGTCTCTCCCGTGACCATGATTGCTGTAAAGCATTCAACCAAAAATCCAAATAAATCCGCGAAAAAATCCGAAAAGATAGTTTTATTTCAATTATAAAAAGTTGTTCACGCGGTCGAGTCAGTACAGTTATATCCTTGATCACAATAAAGTCCTTTACAAGCTCCAGCTCCTCATTCTACTCGCTCCCACAAGATAGTTCAGTAGTGGTCGAGTGTGTTCGTAGATGCGGATAGTTCAGTAATACATTGTTCGTATAATAACTCTATAGGAAATTTTTATGAAACGTAAATTCAAATCTTTTTCCATTTACCCAAATATTCCGGGAATAAAACATACCCTATATGTATGTAGCCCTACAATAAGTATCTTCGGTCGCGTCAGTGGGCGACATGCTAGGACCCCTCGCTTCCATCCGCTACTGCCCCCGCTATCGTCATCGACGTTAAGATATTATTACGTTTCGCGAGTTATTTTCATTCTGTGATATCTTCTAAGATATTCATCTAATTCAGTTTTGATCTAAATTAAGTACTTAAGTTGTCTAACATAGTTATTTAGATAAGGATTAGGTAACACCATGTCAGTAAAACACAAAAAATGGTTATTGTGAGTCCACCTTAAAAGATAGACATAGTGCTATCGCGGACTTTTTCTAGTAATTCTTCGTAGTTTCTGCCTGCAATAATGCAGCGTACCCTATCCAGTAAAGCTCCTATTTGGCATGATTTTATCCGAAATCTTCAACAATCATTGTCATATTTCAGCCAATTTACACAAAACCTATTAAGGTTTTGTTATTTGTTTTGTTATTCATTAGAATACATCTTCTTCATGAATCACTCCGTTCATTGGTGTAAACCGTATGAAAATCTGTTATAATCTGGTCTAGTTCTGGTAATGTTTGATCTAAATCTGGTTAATCTAGTAGTTTTTGAGTTTATCGCGTTCATACAGACCGACAGACGTGGTGGGGGACTTTGTTTTATAATATATATAGATAGATAGAAAATAGATATATATTTGCCGAGTTTTTCCACCGCATGCTTTTTGAAAGTTTTTAACAAAACTGCATCCAATGAATCTACTGTTAGTGACGAAATTGCAATAAAGTTAAAAATGTAAAATAAACTTAACAATAATCGCATTGTTTAATTACTATACTTATACTAGCAGTACCCGTGGCTTCGCCCGCGTCCAAACTTCCGATCGCTAACAAATTTCACAGGATCACCCGCTGGGCTAATCTGAAGAATTCCTGAAAATTTTATCAAAATCGCTCCAGCTGTTTTGGAGTCCATATGAAACATATGTACATACACACATCGATTTCTATTTTATTTAATCAATAATTTAAATTTATTTATTGCTCGGTAAATAGTCTTTTATAAAAATTTAGTGACACACCGACTGCAGCGCCACCTACTGGGTCCATTTATGTTTTCAAACCTTGACCCTCTCGAACATACACAAAAAAAATATCATTAAAATCGCCCCTGCTGTTTAGGAGATGATCAGTGGCACAACGAATGCAGCGCCACGCACTGGGTCTATTTGTGTATTCAAACCATCCAGGAGCCCATTGAAATAAACACACAAAATTTCATCCAAATCGGTCCAGTCCTTTAGGAGGAGTAGGTTAACAAACACACGTACAGAAGAAATATAGGTATAGATAGCTATATTAAGATGTACTAAACAGTAATGTTCTAACAACACCAAAGTCATGCTTCTATCAACGTAATGCAACGCTTGAACCAATAATGAATTATCTACAAATGCAAATAATTGAACGGAGGGTTCCGAAACGGGCTTCGGTCGGTTGTGGCTATTTAATTAGAGCAGCGATGTATCAAGTACTTATTACGCAGACACGCTATCTATCACCCGCGGGACGCCGCGGC